GATAAGCAGGCAAATATTGAGTAGCCAAGTAGGAGAGATCTAAGCCTCTCGAAAACTTAGAAATGTTCTTTCATTTTCAGTGTAATTCCATCTTTAATTCAATACCATTTGTCATTTATCGTTTTCATTAATTGGAGTCCTATAAAATATTCTCCTAGCTAAGCACCTCACTCCCATCTTAAAAAACACGTTGTATGAATAAAATTGAAGAACTTAATTCCAATCTTCATTTAGCCATTTATTTGTTTGCCTAAAAACTGATAAAGGATGAAGAAATTGTTGCATTTGACATGCATTATTGCGATTCTTTGAGCCACTTTTCTACTATTAACTGCTGACTAATATGGTATATGACTCAATTGCAGATAGATTTTCATGACACGAGTAATGGTCCACGAATTCCAGCCATGACTGATTATTTTGGTTTCACAATGGCTGCTTTGAACGAGAATGGAAGTGTATTTGCCGATCCAGGAAAGGGGGAGAAGAATATGAGCACACTTATGTATCGCCCATTCAGTACCTGGGCAAATAACAGTGAGGTCAGAACTATAGATCTTCTGTATTTGCTTTAGTATCTCCATAGCGAAACCACCATCACATATACGCATTTAATCACCCTGCTGAGGAATAGTATTTAGTTCATGGCTGATATTGGTTTCCTAATCAAATCATAGTGGTCTATGCGTTTTGAAGACGAAGAAGTTAGAGCATTAGCACTTGGAAGTGCTTGGATTGCAGCTGTCACCAGCCTTAATTTTCTTCGCCTTGCAGGTTTGTAAAATTAGTTATTTGAATTAATATCTTAATTAACAGATTTATCCGAAGTACTGATACTCATACAACTTTCAATTCATTGGCACTAGTATGTATATGCTTTGCACTCAGATAATCTAATTTGTGGATTTATATATCAAAGAGGTATGTTCTCTCCCTCGACGGGGCCAGTGGTTACTGCAGTGGGCTTCAAGATCGAACTTGCGGTTGTCACCCATACTTCTCCTTCTCTTGCCCCCGATGATCAGGTGTTATTAGAATTTACTTTCTGTATCCTCTATCTTAAAATATGTCAATAACATATTATCAGTCAATACATCTTAAGCTAGACACAACTGAACTAACAAAGTTAATAACAAGAATACCGTTGGTTTCTTTCTTTGTGATCCATAAGGATATTTTTGCTGGAAACACCATATGTAATTTCAGCTGAAACTTCTTATGGACTGGCTTACACGCTAAGTAATGAAATTTTTTCTTTTGATTTGAAATACATTAATATCTTTTCTCCTTGTAGATGCTTGAGTTTAGAGTGTTCGACATTCACACTGGGACTCAATCTCTTAGAGGAAGATTACCATTGACTCCTGGTTCATGTTTGGCATGGTTTGGTTTCAGCGAGGAAGGCTAAGTTCTTTCGATACTAAGGTGCACCATCTCTGACAACATTGACGTTCTATATAGGCGCTGCACGTGTATTACATTGATAGGTAGCTGATACATGCTTATGTTATGGAACTGAATATATGTAGGGGGTCTTACGGGTCTTCACAAATCAGTTCGGAGGTAGTTGGATGCCACTCTTCAGGTACTACAAGAGCTGTAGTCTGCACAATATTTCAAATAGAAAAACAAAGTTCAGCTATCTAAAACTTGTCGATTTTCTGCTCCAGTAAGCTAAACAAGGCAGGGGAGAACCATTGGGTTGTTGGACTCAATGCAAACAAGTTATTTTGCATTGTTTGCAAGTCTCCTGAAACCTACCCACATGTATGGTTGCCATTAATGTATGTTCTTTCTGCATAGTTATGTAAACTACATACTCATGCTTTTTTTAATTCACGGCTTTTGCAGGCAACTTCCAAGCCTGTCCTCACCTTGCTTGACCTTTCGTTCCCTCTTGCTTCATCTGATCTCGGAGCAGATAGCCTCGAGAATGAATTTATGATGAACAACATGCATCTGTGCCAGGTGATTTTCATAATTCTGTAGATTTGATTATTTGCAAAAACTATACATGTTAGAGTACTAATCGGACAATAGTGAAGGCGTTTGATGATAACCCAGGAAAAGATAAACTATTCTTTTTTTTTTATCACTCCTGCATGTCACTGGAGGATGTTTTTATCAATGCTGAATATTTATGATAAATACATTGCTAGAAATAATGAGCGATGAAATGTTTTTGTATATCATCATTGATCAACACGTGAATATTTAAATAGGATGAGTTATACAGGAAGATGATAAGGAAATATTACATGCCCAAAATAATGGAGGAATATGGTGTCTCAACTCTCAATCAATTAAGCCTAAATCAATCCTTAATCTTAACAAATTTGCAGATTCAGAAAAAAATAGAAGAAATGGTAGCTGCTGGTGAGTACACCACCTCACTTGACGATGAGACTTTCAACTTGGAAGCTTCTCTCGACAGATGCATCTTGAGGCTCATTGCATCTTGCTGCAATGGTTAGTCTTTTTGTGGCAAAAGGACAAAATTACTATTATTTCTATTCTTTTGCTCCCTTGCATGATGAAACGGTGGACAACTAATTATGCCCATCCTCTTATTTTTTAAAGGTGACAAGCTTGTTAGAGCCACCGAACTTGTGAAACTTCTTTCACTAGAAAAATCAGTCAAAGGTGCAATAAAGCTTGTAACAGCACTGAAACTACCAAATTGTTGGAAAGTAAACTTGATTTTGGAGTAAGTAATATGAGTTTAAGAATTTTGCTCATAGGCCCAATTCAAAGGCCCAACAAAGTCTAGCATTTTCTAGAATTATATTCTAGAAAGACCCATGTAAAAATCTAAGTAATAGA